GGCAACGGGAGCTGCCCGGGCTGCCGGGCGGGCGCCGGCTCCGCGGCGCGCGCCGCCACCGCGCTGGCCGCCGTGCTCATCGTCACCATCGTGGGCGACATCCTGGGCAACGTGCTCGTCATCCTGTCCGTGCTGAGGAACAAGAAGCTCCGCAACGCCGGTGAGTGCGGGAGGGGGGGGGAGCCGGGCGGCAACTTCCCAAACTTCGCCCCGGCTCCGGTCCCGGCCCGCGCTGCGGCCGCCGGGGCGAGGGCAGCGCTCACTGGGCTCCTTCCCCGCCTCGCTGCTCTGTGCTCCAACTTCTCCCAACTTTTTTTTTCTTTGTCTCCCAGAGACAGCTGCACATGCAGGAGCCAGTCCGCAAGGCGTAACTCAGGTAAAACCTCCGTTAATCGCAGGGAGAAGCTTGCCGGGGCAGAGCGAGCAGAGCAGGCGCGGGGAGGACGGGAGARGCAAGCGCGGGGCATGAGCCGCGTCCCGAGGAGGAGCCCCCAGCCGGGCTCCGCACCTCTGTTTATGTTCCCGCCTCACTTCTGTTGCACATCTGCACCTTAAAGCTCCTCTGCTTTACTTAGGTGACAAAGTGAAATCAGAGTGTAGAGATTTTCCAGCTCTTGCCCGGGGGTAGTTTGTAAATCTGGCTACGGGCTTTACATAATGATTTCCCTATGAATTTACCARTGAAAACAGTAATATTCATACTAGTGGTATCTATTTTTAAGAAAGCTATATAGTTGGAGAGCATCCTTTTTCTGCCTCCTGTGTTGTGTTCTTTTAGCAAGAACCTCTGTTCTGTAAGAACATATATGCTATATGAACTATAAGAAGTTGCAGGTGGTCTCTGTAGYGCTGCTGAGAAGCTACCGTAGGGTATGTTCTGTTAGAGACTATGCCCTTATCTGCTTTACAGCAAAGGAGATAAAGTGAACTTCAGTTTTGCAGTTTGTAAAATGGTTGTGAGATGTCTGCAGGATTCGCAGTCTGTGATACAAAGTAGGGACCTTGGTCTCTCTCTTCTACTGCAAATGTGGAGTAACTCGATAGAGTTCAGTAAAAGTAGTCTCTGGGTAAAGATAACGAGACAGTGCCCTACTGCCTTTTCATTGACATTTTATTAGTTTTTTAACAGAAATATATAATGTGGTTGCTGGCTAGGGCAGGTGATGGACACASTGGGTTCAGTGGGTTACTCTGTTTTAACAGATAAATTAAATGTGGCCCATAGTCCACAACATGTGAAAATATTATACTGGGCTTATGAGAACTTATATTTAGTTGAGAAAAGTATTTTCAGTTGTTTTAAGTGGCTTTGTTTTAAAATGTGAGCATTATGAACTTCTAATCAGTGGTCCTGGGAAGGGAAAAGGAAAAAAATAAACTTCCTAAGATAAAATGAGAAGTTTATAACTAATGGTTTGTGTCACTTGGCTAGGTAATACAGCAAGGAGATCTGAAACTGTTTAGCTGTTCTGYCTCCTTTCAAATTGTTAATTGCATGAATGCATTACATGACTTAAGAATGTCTCCTAGGCAGGTGAGTTAGAATTAAAGCAAAAGTGTGAAAGAATAGCCTTTGTAARTGAAACCAGAGTTACTGTCAAAACCAAAGACTTCTCTGTAGCTTACTGTGTGCTCCAAATATCAGCCATTGGGATGCACCGGTAAAACGGATACAAATGAAATCTTTGTTAAGTGAGGAAGTAACTCTTGTTATATGCAGAAATCAGAGCGTGGCCAGGGGAGAGTTCGTAGGTTTGCACTTTGAAGCCATGGTAGATATCAGGAGTCCTGTCCTGGTTCAGTGCCATGAGCACTGTTCTTCTGTCAGTCAGCAGCCTAAGTTGGGAATATGTTTGCAAAGGCAGTGGAGAGGTCAAGATCCGGAAAGTGAGGCTGTCACTAACGATGGTGGTCCCGTATTCATTAAATTAAAATGTCTAACCARAATCTAATCTTATATTGCTGAAAGGATCACGTGTGTTTGGGATGTTCAAACAACATCCTGCATCTGTCTRTGTTGGCAAGCAAACAGCCTGTCTGCCTTTCTGAAGGCGGAACAAGAAGTCAAGGGGTCTCGGCTCGGTTTGTGCTCCTCTTGGCTCGTGAACAAGCCCATTGATGAGGATGCTTATCCAGAGAGCAGCAGCCAGCTAGAAGTGCTTTAGACAAAGAATTTCCTGCGCTTGTTCAAACATATGCTAGGCCAGTCCAACGAGTAGAAAAGAGACCCGTTACGGCTGTGTTGGTTCTTGCCAAATCCCACAAGTGCCAAGCTATCCGTTTCTGGAGCGAGCTCATGGGGAAGCAACGAGAGCCTGGCTACAAGGATGTCATTTGGTGCTAAAACTGCATTGCAGGAGAAGCTGGATTCCGGCTGGGACATGAAAGTGTCACTGCCTCAGAGGCTCTGGTGGGTGACCTCCCTGTTTGGGACAGGGTTTTCGGTCGCAGCCTCCTGGGCCCCTCTGCAGCACTTGGCACAGTTGAGCCAAGCACATGGCCTGGGTAAAACGGGCTGAGTTTGTGTGTGGCTGGCAGCAGGGTCTCATCAGGGCTTCCATCCTTCTGGTGCCTCAATGATATTGGTTCATGGATGAACAAGAGCTGCCTGGAGTGAATGAACAGAAAGAGGTGATATCTGTGAATAGAAACCAGAGAAATCTGGTTTCATTCAAAGCCCCAGGGCTTTCCCGCTGTTGGAGGGTTCAAATCCACAGTTGGTCATTGRGTCAGTGGTGTAGGAGCGCTGCTGACATCAAGCTTTCATGTAGCAGTGTCTATGAGTGACACTTTTGCTATCTCCCGTGGGCTCCCTCCCATTCTGGTGAAGAATGAGTTGGAGTCAGTTATTCAGATCTTCACAGTTTCTCTGGCAAACAACAGCAATGTGGTGAAAATGGCAAAAAAGCTGCCCACTCTTGGGGAAGAGTAGGTGTCCAGACAGCTGGATGCTCGGAGCTGCCTCTATGTCCAATCTGAGAGCTTCCAGTGAAGTTCCAGCCTGGAATCCATATGCTCATGGACTGCACCTGCTCATRGTTGAGGTTGAAGGGTATGGGGAGTGATTGCTCCTCTGCCATGAGAGATGCCTGTATCTCTTTATGGTGTCTTTATGGGAGGTTAAATGCTTTGTAGATGCTGAGAGTCTTTGCAAACCTGGCCACCTTTCTCTCACTGTCAAGGATGCAATGCTGAACATATTAATTTAACAGYAAACACCTAATCTTTGTGACTTTCCAAAAGAAATCACTCTGCTTCCCTTCTGCCCTCTGGAAGTTAGTAACWTGTATTGGACGGGTGTTCACCTTTCCTGTGTTGTTACTGGAAGGTATTCAGAGCACTGAGCATATTTTACGACTCTCTGTAGGAAATAATGAGAGTGAATGGTGTATTGTATGGCAAGCAAAAAATCGCGACAGACTAAAAGTTGTTGGCATGTCTGTGTTTGCAGCTTCTCGTTTGTGGTTCCTGCTAGCTTCACAAATGTGAGAATCTGCACTAACAAACAGTCAAAACTTTTAAATAAATCAGTCTGTTCTTTGGGCAACAGCTCTGGAAATACACTTTTCTACCTCTTCTGAACTTCCTGAAAACATAGCACGTACAGCCAAAATATCCATTTCTTGAAAAACCACACCGTGCAGTAATGCTGCCTGGAGTTTCGCTTGCAGGATGAAAGGTTGGGCCCCGGGCTTGCCCTTATCTGCACTCACTGCGTCTCAGATGTGTGTCAATGCGTGCCACGACTCTTGGGATGTGACAAGATCTCTGCCAAAGGGAGTGTGGGTTTGTAAAGGTAGCCTGGCAACCTAGGAAGAGAATGATTTAGATGCTTTGCTCCTTGGTGTGACTGTTGTGGAGCAGGTTACAGATAGGGGGAGAGGAGGGATGGTCTCAGGAGGACCTTGCTCCGATGTACTCAACCTTTGCTCAGTTCCTGGGTCATTTGCATTCCCAGTTTTGCAACTGCTGATGCAGCAAGCAGGTCCTTGGCCAGGGACTGAAGCCAGGATGGACCTAGYGCTGTAGCTGCATCAGAAGTGTCATCTCAGGACGCAGTGCCAGCCTTCTGCCCTTGTGCAAGGGAAAGGCACAAGGTAACTGCACGGCTGGGTGTCCGTATTGTCTGTGTCATGGGTGTTTTGTTTTTCAGCTGAAAAAAAAAGGTGGTTTTTGGCTTTTTCTCTAGCTATTTCTGCTGCCAAAGATCTTTGTGATCTGTAGGTCCTGGTGGGAATGTTGCCCCTCTTGAGGGAGCTGAGACCTCAGTTGGGCAATTCACACAAGTATAACTATAATTAGGTCACCAGCCTCGACCAGTTGTTAATCGCCTTGATATGGACTACCCTCATGTTTGTACAGTGCTAATGTTTTTATTATCACACTGTCATACCGGCCAAAGTCAATTGCCACACACAAGTCTACGTGTGTTATGTCAACACTGTTACCTTTGTCAACCAAATGGGTAATCCTGCAGGAAATAACAGATTAATTTGACAAGTCCTTCTACCATAAAGGTCTGTTGACGAGGACTAATTGTGTTTCCATCTTTTAATACTTCGTTGCTTGCTTTGGCCTTTCCATGACTCTGCCTGGGACCAAAGTCAGGGTAATCGGCCTATAGTTCCAAGGTCAGCCCGTTTACCCTGCTGCATTATTGGCACAACACTAAGATTTTGTTTGCTTGAGCCTTTCTTTTTTTAACAGTGATATGTTAAAGAAAGAAGGGAAAAAAAGACAATGTTAGGGATTCCATGAGCTTATTTTTGCATTATTAAGTTAAAGCTCTATAGTCTCAAAAATGTAAATAGAAGTTTAATAGATGGTGTTGAGTATTCTGCCTGGCTTCTGGCATTCAGAGAATTTTGTTATGGATGAGATACAAGTCATCCTTGTCTGAAAAGATAAGAAATGCTTATAGTTTCTATATTTATAAGCATGGATAATTTCACTTTATTCTTTTAACATCAGGCCTGTTGTATCACTAGACTGCTGTTCTGTTCTGATATACCTTTTGCCATTAGTTTTTGAAATCTTTTTGCTTTCTTTATAAAATATGTTGATTTCAGTTACTAATTTTATAGCTTTTATATTATTTGTTACAAATATGCATTTGTTTCTTAAACTTGTTTTTAGGATCATGTATCTTCTTAAACAAAG